ATTAAAACCACAGTGAAATGCCATTAAATACCTATCAGAATGTTTAAAAGTTTTTTTTTTTTTGTAAGAATAGCATGTCAAGTTTTGGCATATAAAATAGTACAACTACTTTGAAAAAATATCAGTTTCTTTAAAAGGTAATCATTCATGAACCAAGGACCCATCCATTCTAGGTCCTAGTAAAATTGATAGCAGCCTTAGTTATGATAGCCCAAACCTGGAAATTACACAGTTGTCTTCAACAGATGAACTGATAAACAAAGTCCAATGAAATATTACTTGGAAATACAAGGGGATGAACTGGTACAGTCAACAACACTGATGAAATCAAGATAACTATGCAAAGTAAAAGAACACAAACAAAATGTTTACATATTATGTAGTTTCACTTATATAAAATTCAAAATCCAAATCAATCTCTAGTGAAAGTAGATTAGCAGTTACTTAGAGATACTGGGTAGAGGAGTGAGAGAAGTCTTTTTTTTTTACCAAGCAGCACAAGGAAACTTGCAAGTGATGAATATGTTCACAATCTAGATTGTGGCGGTGGTTTCGTGAGTACATGCATATGTCGAAACTTACCAAATTGGATATGCAGTTTTTGTTTATCAATTTTATTTCAATAAAGCTGTTAAAGAAAATGGATTCAGGACTTTTTATTACTGTTGAGAGGCAGTTAGTGAAGTGTATGTCTTATGGGTTGACATAATTTTTTCAGAAAGCATTATTCTGACCATAACTTATAGTAAAAAATATGAAGAAAAATTTATAATACATTATTTTTTCAAATGGACTATTTTAAATGATTCTATTTTATTGAAAATTGACTATAATCAACAGAGATAGAACATAACGAATTCATACAGTTTAAACAATTAAGTTAATTATCTTTGCTCAGTATTTCAAGATTATAAGTGAAGTTCCAAATGATTACTGTAAAAAATAAAATTAATGGTAGTTGGATTATTTAGCTATATTATACATTCAGTATGAAAATTGTTGTTGTGCTTATCTTGGAGATTTTTTTTTAGACTCAGTGATAATTCTTACAACATAGGCTTTTTAATTTAAAGTTACTAGAATCAATGACTATTCAATGTAATATAAAAAGTTAAAATGGTAATTATTGACTCATTTATGAAACTCATCCTATATTTTTTCATGTAAGCTTATTAGCTTACACACAAGATAAATAAGATATAGAAATCTAAAATCAGGCAAGTACAAGAGGACCTCAAAAAGTTCATGGAAAATGGAATTCAAAGATGAAAAATATGAACTTTATTTTTCAACATAATCTTCATTAAAGTCAAAACACTAGCTCGTTATTACATCTGTAAAGAACTAAGGGTCCTGATAATTTAACAATGCCAATACAGTCTTTTTTACTTTGTTAACTAAGAAAAATGGTTGCTCTTCAAAGATTTTTTAGATATTAAGAAACAAAAAATCATAAGGAGACAAATCATGATTGTAAAGAAGATGCCTGGTGATTTCACTCAAAACTCTTAGAAAATTAACCTTGTTTGATGACAGGAATGAACAGGAGCATTGCCATGGTGGAGGAACACTCTGACTTTCTCAGGTGGTTTTTTTGCTAAAGCTTTGGCTTACTTTCTCAAAAAACTCCAAACAAATGGCTGTTACTGTTCTTTGGCCCTGCAGAAAGTCAGTAAGCAAAATGCCCTGAGCATTGCTATGGTTGTTGCTGTTGACCAATCTACTTTTGCTTTGACTGGACCACTTCTTGGTAGCCATTGCTTTGTGATTTGCCTTTACGATTGTACTGGTAATGCTGTGTGTCATCTGGTAGAATTCTAAAGAACTGCTTGAGGATTTTTATCTCATCCCATCTTAAAATGAGTTATCCATTTGTGAAATGCATATTTTTTTAAGTCATTGCCCCCATAAACTTTTCATAAGCTTCCATGATTTCACCATTCTCCCACTAAAGCTTCACCATAAATTTGATGTTTGTACTTGGTTAAATTTTAGCAGAATTCCTATTGCTCTGCCAGGGGCTCTTTAAACCTGATTTCTAATCCTTCTAAGTACCTCATACTAGGTCCTGTTTCAACATGTTACATCAAGTTAGTATGAGTTCATTTTGGTACCCCCAAAATTTTGAATCCCATGAATAGATTTTCGTAAAACACATTTTTCATGAGTTTTTGGAGACCACTTGTATGTTTGTTTCTGTATATTCATATTTTAGGTTGCTTACAAAATCCTAGATATAGTTTGAGACATGAAGTTTACTATGAATAGATATTGAGAAGTATTACAGAAAATAAAAACTTGTTTTAGATTTTATCAACATTTACTAGTCATTAATCATTAAGCATTCTAAATAGTTAATTTCATCACAGTTTAAATCCTTGTTTTAAATTCGAGTGAAAAATACCTATAGATATCATTTAATGTTTTTTTCTGAATCTTGTTACTATAACTGTAATTTAACTAAACTAGTTAGGAAACATTTATTTTTAATTTCTTTTAAATCTGTTCATAATGTTAATTTATTGTTAAATGATGTGTATTTTCTAATTTGTTTCATCTAATTTGTGAAAGGATATTTTCTTTTTTGTGCATATATCATTGACATCTGCTCTTGGCACTTACATATTTATTATTTTTAATACTAGTAATATTCCTCAGAACCAGATAACATTACCTCCTATTTTTAAAATCTCTGAGACACTGATTTGCCTAAGGTTACTTTGTAAATAAAAAGCAGAACTGAAAACACCCAGATCCATCTACTCCCAGTTTATACACATCCTACGACGTTCTGTAGTCACTCTTTATATTCTCTATTTTTTAAAAGTTTTTTACTTATTTGAAAGGCAGAGACAGACATCTTTTGTCAGCTGGTTCATTCCCCAAATGGCTGCAATAGGCAGGGATGGGCCAAGATCAAAATCAGGAGTCCAGAGCTCCATCTAGGTCTCCTGTATGGGTGGCAGGGACCCAAGTAATTGGAACATCTTTCCCTGCTTTCCCAGGTACATTTGCAGGAAGCTGGATTTGAAATGGAGAGGCTGGGACTGTACCCAGCACTCAGATTATGGAATGTCAGCATTGCAAGTGGTGGCTTAACCTGCTGATCTGCAACACTGACCCTAGTCTGCTTTTTTTTTTAATTTCTTACTTTAGCATTATAACATTGTTATAATTAAATATATATAAATAAATATATATAAATGTTATAATTAAATGTCAGATAAATGAAGAAATGTAAACCACAATGTTAAATTAAAGAAATAAAAAATATTTTTATACTATCACCATTTATATGTTCTATTACTAGCTTGATTTAGCATAAAAGACTCCCCCATGGTAGCTGGGTTGCCACTATTATTACTGTTATTGTTATCAATCTAATAGATAACAAATTAAATCAGGATCTGTAATATCTAGTTTTTAAAATACTAGAAATATGCCTAAAATTACCTATGCTATTGAGTCCACTGTAAATTGCAAATAATAATTGGTATTGTTATGTTCCTTGGTATGTTTTAACATCACTTATTGCGTTCAGGAAATTTTCTTTTTAAAAATATTATTTATTTATTTATTTATTTATTTATTTGAAAGAGTTACAGAGAAAGAGAGAGAGCAAAAGACAGAGAGAGTAATCTTCCATCTCCCCAAATGGTTGCAGTGGCCAGAACTAGACCAATCCACAGCCAGGAGCCAGGAGCCAGGAGCTTCTTCCTGGTCTCCTCCATGGGTACAGGGGCCAAACACTTGGACCATCTTCTGCTGCTTTTCCAGGCACATTAGCAGGGAGGTGGTTGGGAAGTGGAGCAGCCAGGACTCTAACCAGCACTCATAGGGGGTGCCGGCATTGCAGGCGACAGCTTTAGCTGCTATGCCACAATGCCAGCCCCAGAAAATTTTCATTCCATGTTCACTCTATAGAAATCCAGAGTAAAAGAAAATAGGAATGCAGGAACTTTCATCCACTTCAGTATTATAAATGAAACTCCTATTATTAATAATTATCTCCTCATCTAGCTGAAGAGACAACACTAATGTAAATATGTCTAAAAATAAAAGCTTTGTACATTCTTTCTTAACTTTATTAGTCCAGCCCTAAGGAAAAAAGCCTGAAAATTATATACTTTCCCTTCAACTATAATAATATAATACCAGAGTACAGCAGACCTGGAACCATTAGCACACATGACCTTACTTCTTTTTAATGAGCAGAAATGCAGTCCCAAAGCCTCAATGTAATTTTAATTTCTTTCTATAGGTTCTCAAGGTTGTCTTGCAAATAATGTTGCTAGCATCTTTCTCTAATAGAAACTCTTCTTACTTCTTTATGTATTATCAACAAAATTAAAAATACAAAACCATCTTTCTTCTCTCCTGATTTCCTATACCATTTTTGTAGTCTGAAAAATATTGACAGTAATTTCAGAAACACCTGACAGGATAGATGGAAGCCTGCCCATCTTTCTGCCCAATTTCTGAAATCCCCAGGGAACATTGGCATACTTATCTTCCTCATCCATGTTTATGAAAAAGGAAATTGGTGCATCTAAATTACTAATTTTCTTATTAGCTAAAGATTATAATCCCATTACTAGGTATTGTAATTATTACACTGGGCTTTTAGATTTGCTACTGAAAAATTTTCTTTCTAATGTAAAAAGGCCTTATGATTAATCCAATTGTCAATTCTTGAGTAGAGGTATGTGAAAATTTTGCCTTAAAGATTAGAAGAATCTCCTTACAGTCTAAACAGAAATATCATCTTCTCATGAAAAGAAAGAAAATAACCTAGCAAATAGAGTAAGCAGAAAATTAGTCTTGGTGAATTTATTCTTAGAAACTGGTTTAATAAGTATGTATTAGCTCTGATAATTTTGTGCTCTTCAGTTGTGAAAACAGGTCATGTTATAAGCGTAAAGAGTTTACAATGATGGTTTTGTAAGTTATAGTTTAGTTTCCCTGAAACTTAACAATTACAATTTGTTTTGATTTTAAAGGAAATGTTGGGGGAACTCTTCACTCCTGTAGAAACTCCTGAAGCACCAAACAGGGGATTCTTTAAAGGCTTATTTGGAGGTGGTGCACAATCTCTTGATAGAGAAGAACTATGTAAGTTGATTTGTTTAATTTGGAATAATATATATATATATATATATATAAAAAACAGAAACATTCAAGCCATACATATTTTCACTACATGTAACTTATATTTTCTCCTCTGTCACAAAAATGATTCTTGTTTATCAAAATATGTAAAATTAGTTTCTGTTCTTCTATTCCAAATCAGGGAACTACTTAGGGAACTGAAACCAACAGGTTAAAAGAATATTCACAGTTTAAATAAATAGTTTAGAAAATATTTTCATTGTTTTCATTAAATGTGATCATCGTTATTATTTTAATCCTATGATTGCATTAAGTTGATGACCTTGACTTCAGATGATTTACCTAAAGATTTAATTTCTCAACAAACCCTCCCAAACTATTCTCATTTCACTTGAAAGTTATGTAAAATGAAAAATGTGGTTCATATATTGCCTTCCATATAATTGACACAAAAAGACACCTGGTCTCCTTGAATGAACTAATGAATCAGTGAATGACCTTTCTCAAGTGAGAGCTGTCATCTGTCCTTGAATTTTTTTTCCTTTTTGCTGAAATATTTTAGAATTTTCATTTTAAATTTCATTGACTAATTAGAAAAACTGTAACATTAAATAGAAAATGCAGTTTCATTTTAAAACCTTAATCAGATGATTGGTCCATAGTTTTAATACAGTTAAAAAAAATTAAGATTGTTCTTCAAGTCAATAGGAACTGAAAACTTGAAATGACATTCTTATTAAGGAAACACATATATTCAAGACTCAAAATATATATCTTTAAAATTATTACAAACATCAAAGAATTAATAAATTGTTACAGAACTTTCAGAGAGGACAATACCCATGAGAAAGGATGGGAGCCCAGATTAGCGATGTAGGTAGCCTAGGGCCTCTTCTTCCCTGTAGTGCTTTAATCCAGAGAAGAAGGCTGAGGTACTGTAAAGTACTAGAGCTAGAAAGATGGGCTTCCAGGCCTGGAAAGGGTTGAGACCCTGAAATAACTCCCTTTTCTCCAGCAGTCTGCAGTTAAAGACATAGGGGCCTATATTCCTATAGAACAGTGGTCTTTCTACATTTTACTTGTATGGTTAGTGTTACTTGAGCCTATGATTATAAAAAATAGAAATTATGTTATTAAATAAACTTAAAAGGAAGGAGAAGGGATTGAGGGTGGGAGGGAGGGAAGTATGATTATCTTTGTATCTATGAAATACATGAACTCTGTTCACTTTATACTAATAAAAATTTTTTGAAAGAGGAAGAGTGAGTGGAGCCAGTGCCATGGCTCACTAGGCTAATCCTCCGCCTTGTGGCGCCGGCACACCAGGTTGTAGTCCCGGTCGGGGCACCGGATTCTGTCCCAGTTGCCCCTCTTCCAGGCCAGCTCTCTGCTGTGGCCAGGGAGTATAGTGGAGGATGACCCAAGTACTTGGGCCCTGCACCCCATGGGAGACCAGGAGAAGTACCTGGATCCTGGCTTCGGATCAGCGCCGTGCGCTGGCCGCAGCGCACCAGCCACGGCGGCCATTGGAGGGTGAACCAACGGCAAAGGAAGACCTTTCTCTCTGTCTCTCTCTCTCACTGTCCACTCTGCCTGTCAAAATAAAATAAATAAATAAATAGTGAATGGAAATGAATCAGCCTTCATATACATACACACTTCCAGTACAGCTTCAGAGTATCTGAGTGGCCCAGGAAATCTTCAATATTAATTAAAAATTTTAAAATCCCAAGCATCTGGCAGAAGCAAATGAAAAAAAAAAAAACTCTGAAAGAAAACAACATACTCCAAGTCCTCAAATTATTTCTACAAATAATTTTTAAGAGGTACTCATATAGTCACAAATAATCAGAAACACTAGGAATCATTGCCATAATCAAAAAAGTAGAAAAAGCAGAAGCAGAATAGGCACTTCAGTATTAGGATTGTTAGACTACACAATATTTTTTTTTTTTACATTTTGGGGCTCCCTTGTACAAAATTCTTGAAACCAATGTATTTCAGATTTTGGAGTTTTTCAGAGTTTGGAATATTTGCAGACTTCCAGAGAAGCATCCCTAATCCAAAATCTGAAATACTCAAAATCCAAAAAATTTCAAAATCCAGGGCATTTTAGATTTCAGATTTTCAGATTATCATGCTCAAAAGTTAGAGATTTGGGAATATTTTGGAGTTTCACATTTTCAGGTTAGTAATGCTCAACCTGTGTTGCATTAAAGAGGTACCATACCTGAACATTTTTTCAGGTAACTGAAAACTACAAAAGCAAGTACAGTAGATGTGGAAAAATCAGTCGAAATTCTTGGACTGAAATCTTAAGAAACCAAAATTAACAGCTTAGTGAAAACACTTAACTGAAAAATTAGACACAAGTAAAAGAAAACTACATAACTTAAAAAGAGGTCCAAAGAAATGCAAAACATAGCACAACAAAACACAGCATAGTAAAGACAGGAGAGGACAGAAAGAACAGAAGTTGCAAGAAGAAGATCTAATGTATGTTTAATAAATAAACAGAATGGCTCCCCAAAATAATAGACATTTAAGGGAGTTAGAAAAAATAGTGGATTTAAGATGATCTGAGATCCTTGCAATTTTTTAGAAACTTGTAAAAAAAATCCATTAACATCAGTTCCTTGTGCTGTAATTTCTAGTATAACCTCTAAAGTCTAGAAAAATAACACCTAGCTTCCAGATGACTAGCAGGAAAACCAAATCAAGGACAGGAGGAAAGAACACAAACTGATGGAATAAGTAGAACATATAACAGTTGATAAATTTAACATAAATACAAATAATCCTCAGGAAATGTAGGTGAAATAAGTGTTCCAGTTAGAAGACAAAGGCTTTTAGATTGAATTTAAAGGGAAAAAGAATGAAATGTACACTCTCTATAGAAGACATTTTGGTATATTGAAATTTTAAAACATGGAAAAGCATGAACACAAATAAAAATCAGCAAACATAAATATATTAATATTGAAAAAGTAGACATTCAATTTTTTGAATGCATGTAATATTTTATATTCAAAATATATGAAAAAGTGAGAAAACTATTAGAAGAGACAATTTCCAGATCATAATGGGAACTTCTAAATGCACCTATAGATTGAAATAACAGGCAGACCCAAAAATAAGCAAATAAATAAATTTTCAAGAATACAGAAGATGTGAACAGCATGTTAATAAGCCTAATGGACCGATTTGGAATATTATAGGATATGCATTCTTTTCAAACACATGAAGAATGTTCATAAAATGTTTCTATTTGTAGAGAAATTAAAGATGCATACCGAATTATTTTGGAATAAAATATAATTATCTCAACAATTAATATTCCATCCATGTGACTGAAAACCGTGTAATTACCAAAATTAGTAAATGAGTGTATACATGTTTATTATACACTAAATTTTACTTTTCTACAATGTCAATTTGAAAGTAGTATAAAAACTTGTTTTTCTTAAATTGACCGTATGGTAAGTCACTTTAAAAAAATTACATTTCACAAGTAAACATGAACATGAGCTGAAAGCTGACAATATTTCAAAACCTAGGCCAAGGAGTGGACACTTGTGAGCCAGGTGGAGGTCTTACTTCTTCGAGTGAACCACCCAAAGGACCTGGCTTTGGTGTGCACACAGTTCTTTAATTTATTTTCAACTGTAAATATGTCACTGCACCAAAAAAAAAAAAAATAGATTTCAAAGAACTAAAATATGTCAACTGATGACAATGCAATCATACTTATAATCAGTAAAAAAGATAATTTAAAATCCTCATGTTTGGAAACAAATATACTTTTGAATAATCCTGTGTGGAAGAATTCAAAACTATTGATCTGCATCTAAAGTAATACTTAAGAGTGAAATTTATAGCACTACTTAAAGCAGTATATTCAATATTACCAAAAAAACAAAGTGATTGAACTGACCCTCAAAAAGTTAAAACACATGATGAACAAAAGATGATAGCAAGATTAAGAAATTAATGAAATTATAAATAAATACACAGAAAAATATCAGTACAACAATTGTGTTTCAGATGATTGTAACAAAGTACCATGGTCCAGGTGGCTTACAAACAATAATTTGTTTCTCAATGTTCTAGGGGTTAGAAATCTGACATTGAGATTGAGGTCACCAGTAGGATGAATTCTTGGTAAGGGCCCTCTTCCAGTACAGACAGACATCATCTTGCTGGATCCTCACTTGAGAGAAAGAGGAATCTAGATCTCTGACCACTTCTTATAAAAGCACTAATCCCATTCTTGAAGGCTTCATCCTCCTTATCTAATTAGCTCCCAGTGGCCCCAATTCCAACATCATAATGGGGATTAGATCATGGCATATGGGTTTGGTGGGGCATAAACATTCACTCTTACAAAAGCCAAAAATCTTAAAAAAAAAAAAAAAAAAAAAAAAACCTCCAACACTCTAATGATACATTTCAAGGACTTAGAAGAACAAGAACAAATCAAACCCAAAATTGCTAGAAGGCAAGAAATAAGAATTAGAGCTGAAATAATGAAATTGAAATTTTAAAAAATGCAAAAGATAAAACATTCTGTTTATTGAAAAGATAAACAAAATAGACAAACCTTTAGCAAGACCAACAAAGAAAACAAAATTACTCAAATAAATACAATTAGAGATTAAAAGAAAAGAAACATGGCAGGCGCAGCGGCTCACTTGGCTAATCCTTCACCTGTGGCACCGGCACCCTGGGTTCTAGTCATGGTTGGGGTGCCGGATTCTGTCCCAGTTGCTCCTCTTCCAGTCCAGCTCTCTGCTGTGGCCCAGGAGGGCAGTGGAGGATGGCCTAAGCACTTGGGCCCTGCACCCGTATGGGAGACCAGGAGGACGCACCTGGCTCCTGGCTTTGGATCAGTGCAGCATGCCGGCCGTAGCAGCCATTTGGGGGGTGAACCAATGGAAGGAAGACCTTTCTCTCTGCCTCTCTCTCTCTGTCTAACTCTGCCTGTCAAAAAAAAAAGGAACATT